ATCCCCTTTTGAGGTGGGTGTCTCCTCTCGTTGTCCAGTGCGCTCGAGCCTCCCTCCCCCAACCCCCGTTTTGATCCTTCCCCTCCTCCGCCTCCTTTTCTTTCTCTTCTTCTTCTTCTTCCTCCTCCTCCTACTCTTCCTCCTTTTCCTCCTCTTCCTCCTCCTCCATTCCTTTTTCTAATGAGTAACTTCCCCGTGTCGCACACTGAGGCCAGTTTTTATTGCGTGCCGGGCGTTTCGCCTGAGACATCCGCACCATTTATGACCCTGAAGGTTCAACATTGGCAACAGTTTCACAGATGGAGGGCAGGTCGCTTTCAAACTGTGGCTCTCGCCTTAGCGCCGCATACATTCGTTTTTCAAAATTTGCAAGTGCTTCACATATTGAGGGCGGGTGGTTCTGAACATGTGGCTCTTGCCTTCGCACCGGGCACATTCTATTGCAACATCTGCAAGAGTTTAACGGATTGAGGACGGGTAGTTTTTTTTTAAATGTGGTTCCCGCCTTAGCGCCGCGCGCAATCGTTCTAACAAATGCAAGGGCTCCACGCATTGATGGCGGGCCGTTTTCAACAAGTGGTTCTCGCTTCAGCGGCGCGCGCATTCTAAACCTTTGCACGAGCTTGGCGGACTGAGGGCGGGTGGTTTTCTGAAAGTGGTTTTCGCCTTAACACCGCGCACATTCGTGTTCAAATTTTGCAAAAGTTTCACTGATGAGGGCGGGCGGTGTTCAATATGTGGTTATTACTTTTAGCGCCGCGTACAGATAATTCAACCAAGTGCAAAGGGTTCCACGGATTCCAATGATTGAAGTACCATATGGTTTTTTTCCCAACCACCTGTGGTGTCGGGTTCTCGTTTTAAAGGGGCAGCGCCCCGCGTTCCTTCTTCCGCCCGCTGCCCCCTCCTCCTCCTCGCATCATGGTCATCATCACCAGCATCATCATCATCAGCATCATCAGCATCAGCATCAGCATCAGCATCATCATCATCATCATCATCATCATCATCATCATCATCACCATCACCATCACCATCATCATCATCATCATCATCACCATCATCATCACCATCATCATCATCATCATTATCATTATCATCATCATCATCATCATCATCATCATCATCATCATCATCATCATCATCATCATCATCATCATCATCCTGATCATCCTGATCATCCTGATCATCCTAATCACCATCATCACCCTCACGAGGATCGTGGCCCCATAGGAGCTCCACCGAAGGCCCCCAGTGGCAAAGTGAGCATGGCGGCCTCGGGCCATTTCGGCACACCCCTCACGAAGACCGTGGCCCCAAAGGAAGCTCCACCGAAGGCGCCAGTAGCAAAGTGCGCAAGGCGGCCTCGGGCCATTTCGGCACACACCTCACGAGGATCGTGGCCCCATAGGAGCTCCACCGAAGGCGCCAGTAGCAACGTGCACATGGCGGCCTCGGGCCATTTAGGCGCACCCCTCACGAGGATCGTGGCCCCATAGGAAGCTCCACCGAAGGCGCCAGTAGCAAAGTGCACATGGCGGCCTCGGGCCATTTTGGCACACCCCTCACGAGGATCGTGGCCCCATAGGAGCTCCACCGAAGGCGCCAGTAGCAAAGTGCACATGGCGGCATCGGGCCATTTCGGCACACCCCTCACGAGGATCGTGGCCCCATAGGGAGCTCCACCGAAGGCCCCCAGAGGCAGGGTTCGCACGGCGGCCTCGAGCCATTTCGGCACACCCCTCACGAGGATCCTGGCCCCATAGGAGCTCCACCGAAGGCGCCAGTAGCAAAGTGCGCATGGCGGCCTCGGGCCATTTCGGCACACACCTCACGAGGATCCTGGCCCCATAGGAGCTCCACCGAAGGCGCCAGTAGCAAAATGCGCATGGCGGCCTCGGGCCATTTCGGACACCCCTCACGAGGATCGTGGCCACATAGAAGCTCCACCGAAGGTCCCAGTGGCAGGCTTCCCATGGCGGCCTCGGGCCACTTCGGCACACCCCTCACGAGGATCGTGGCCCCATAGGGAGCTCCACCGAAGGCGCCAGCGGCATGGTTCGCATGGCGGCCTCGGGCTATTTTGGCACACCCCTCGCGAGGATCGTGGCCCCATAGTGGGCTCCACCGAAGGCGCCAGTGGCAGGGTTCGCATGGCGGCCTCGGGCACACCCCTCACGAGGATCGTGGCCCCATAGGAGCTCCACCGAAGGCCCCCAGTGGCAGGGTTCGCACGGCGGCCTCGGGCCATTTCGGCACACCCTTCACGAGGATCGTGGCCCCATAGGAGCTCCACCGAAGGCGCCAGTAGCAAAGTGCGCATGGCGGCCTCGGGCCATTTCGGCGCACCCCTCACGAGGATCGTGGCCCCATAGTTGTGCTGGTTCAACAACCGCGCCTGGGCGTCGTACTCCGCCTTCTCGACGTGCACCGACACCTCCTCCCTCATGGCTCTCAAAGCCCTCTCCTGCTTCTGCTCCTCGGTCAGAGGGACGCCGTCCTTGTCGTCGTCGGCGCCTGCGAAGACGGCCACGAACGTGTTCTTGAGCATGTCGGGCTCCGGCGGGAAGCCGTGGCCACATAAGGAGCGCGGGCGAAGATGGTATTCACATTTGCGGCATTCACAACTGCATGTTGTTGGGTCTTTCGCCTGGCTGATTCTCGGAACGATTCACGATTATGAGGGCGCAACGGTTACGATCATGCGCGGTGTGGAAGTTCTAGGAATGGCGTTCCGGCACGATTCAGGATCGTCAAGACGCAGCAGTCAGGTTGATCCGTGGCGTCGGAATACCGAGACCAATTTTTTGGCATGCTTCAGGGTCCTAAAACGGTTGTTCTGCATCGAGGGAGGTCCCTCTGTGGAAATGAACCGTTGTAGGGACCTTTGATGAGGGAGTTCGGGGGGATGGCTTATTCCATCATCGATGGTGACTCTTGGGTTCACATTGTCAGGCGATCGCAAACATGGATTAAAGGGGCGCGGATTAGCGACGGGTCCCGTTTCCATGGGGAAATCTTGGATTTCCGCTGCCGAACGAAGTTGCACAGGCCGCAGGCACTTCCCCCGATCCATGGACTTGGCGACCGCGCGCCAAATCCATGGATCGCTAATCCATGTTGGCGCACCCCCGATACCAGTCCTCCTCCTCCTCCTCCTCCTCCTCCTCCTCCTCCTCGTCCTCCTCCTCCTCCTCCTCCTCCTCCTCCTCCTCCTCCTCCTCCTCCTCCTCCTCCTCCTCCTCCTCCTCTTTCTCATCTTTCTCCTCCTATCCCTCCCCCTCCTCCTGCGAGCATCCTTCCCCCCCCTCCTCTTCCTCGAGCCCAGCCCTCCCCGAGCATGGACCCCCCCCCGGGGGCGGCCAAGAGGAGGAGAGTGGTGACCAGCGGGGGGGGATCATGCCACGGCCCTGATATCCCCCAGATTTCACGGCGCCCCTTCGGTGCGTCCCCTGTCCCCTGTCCCCCCCCCCTGGGGCCGCGCACGAGTTCGGGCCGGGACTTGCGAGCCCCCTTCGCGTACGCCCTATTCTGGGCGCCCCCGGTCCTCCCTCGGACCCCTCTCCCTCGCCCTCCCCGGACATCTCGGCGTCGCGACGTGTTCGGGACGCGGCCCCCCGACCTCTCGACAGCTTCCCCAGCACAGATGTTCCATCCCTGGTCGATGGTTGACGGCCCCTGGGCCCGGCAAGGGCCCCGAGAGGCCGAACGTTCGGGGGCGGAAAAGAGGGGGGGGATGACTAGGGGGGGGGGGGTATCATGGCGGAGGCCATGCTATTTCCGCAGATTTCACGGCGCTTCTTCTTATTTCATTACGTCCCTGGCCCCCCCGCTGGGCCGCGCACTTGCCGCCGGTCATGATTTGCACCCCCCCCTCTTGGACACCCCCCTCTTGGCCGCTCCCGAAACGCACTCTGAAACAAAAATGCGTCTCGATAGCTTCGAGCCGCCGGAGGTCTGGCCTCCGTCCCCCAGAGAGGTGCGCGGGCGCGGGCCGAGAGCTAGGAACCGCCAGTTGAGGGTCGGGGGCGACGATGGCGGGGCGAAGAACTCCAGGGTAGAGCAACACGTGCATCCAGGGACGCCGAAGGTGCCTTCGGGCGTGACTTATTGGGGGGGGGGGGGGGCGATACGGGGGGGGGGGGGGGGGGGCAGCGCAGCGCGGGCTGCAGAAACGGAGCCCATCAGGGCCCCTAAAGGGCCACTGTAGGGCCCCAAAGGGAGGGGCCTCTAGGGCCCGATAGGGGCATCTTTCTCCCTTCCGCCTCATTTATCATCCTCCTCCCCCTCCTCATCATCATCATCTTCTTCCTCCTCCTCCTCCTCCTCCTCCTCCTCTTCCTCCTCATCCTCCTGTGCCCCCCGAAAAGCGGCCCCCACTAAGCGACGACCAACCCAGGGGCGCCGACGGTCCCTACCTTCGGCGAGGAGCCTGGGCGTCTGCGTGTGATGCCCTCGCCAGGGCATGGCTCCCCTATCTCTTGCCAGCGCTCTCGCGCCCATTCCCCGTGCATGTTTTGGCTCCGGACGTCTGGGCACACCCCTCTCATGGTTTGACTCATCGGTCTCACGTTCATCATAGCAAATTCTTTGGTGCTCCTCGCGCATGCCGCGGTAGGCCTACGGGAATGCCGGGACGGACGGTCCCTGCTGTCGGGGGCGGAAAAGAGGGGGGTGATGATTGGGGGGGGGGGGGGATATCATGGCGTGGGCCATGATATCTCCCCAGATTTCGTGGCGCCTCTTGGCCGCTCCCAACGCTGAGCTGTCCGGCGTCCCCCCCCCACCCCACCCCAGAGAGTCGGGTCGGGCGAAAGGGGGGGATTGGGAAAGGGGGGGTTGCGAAATTTGCTGCATGCAGCTGGTTTCGGCCTCACCGAGGGGCCCGTTCCTCGATACATGGGCGCCTCCGGCGCCGGAAGGCGCCGGGAAAATCAGCTACGGGAGCTGATTCTCAATCCCCCCCTTTGCTATCCCCCCTTTCGCCCCACCCCAGAGAGGTGCGCGGGCGCGGCTCCAGCATGTACGACCCCGCCGTGGCGCGGCACCTGCCGCCGGCCCCCGAGCCGGGCGTGGGCGGCCCGGTGCGGCGGGCTCGGGAGAGCAGGCGCGGCGCGGCGGCCGGGCAGCCAGCGCGAGCGCGCTCGCGCGCGCGCGCGGCTGTGCGGGTCGGAAGCGCCAACGACGACGACGACGACGACGACGACGAGGACGACGACGACGACGACGACGACGACGACCACGACGACGACCACGACGACGACGACGACGAGGACGAGGACGACGACGACGACGACGAGGACAAGCACGACGACGAGTCGACGACGACGACGAGGACGAGCGCGACGACGACGACGACAAGGACGACAAGGACGACGACAACGAGGACGAGGACGGCGACGACGACGACGATGAGGACGAGGACGAGTACGAGGACGAGGACGACGACGACGACGAGGATCATGAGGACGGCGACGACGACGACGACGACGAATAGCCCGAGGGGAGCAATACATCTGGCGTTCTGCAAAGGGCCTCGCCTGCGAGAGTCGAAGGAGTTGTCATCTGGTCCTCAGAGGAAGTCCGGCGGAACGCGGCGGAAGTAAGACGGCGGCGGCTCTGTTGGCGGAAGGCCAGCGGAAGGCGGCGGAGGTACAACATTGGCCCCCAAGAGATGACAACATTTTTGGGTTCAGGTTTTCTGGAGCCGGCCATCTGTATATCTAGGGGCGCCGATTGTACATGTCTTCGGCGAGGTTCCCCAGCGAATACTTGTAATGCCCGCCCCTGGAGTCTGCTCGGGCCGCGTCGCCGCCGCTCGCTGGCGTCTCTCGGGGGAAGAATATCAGCACGGTCGAAATGGGTACCGAAAGAATGGGTACAATGCCAAACTTCAGCCTTGCTCGTTTTGAACGGGACTCGTTGTCCACGCCGCCGCGGCCCGTGGCCATTCGAGACAGAAGGCCGCCTGCCCAGCAGCGCCCGCTGTTGGTTTGGGGCAACAGTTGATGTTGGGCATTCTACCCATTTTTTCCGTGCCCCTCTCGGGCGTCCAAGGAGGCCGAGTCGTGCAGGGAAAGCAGGACGGGAGGTTTCTGGCCTCGGCGTCCGGGGGCCCTCGCCGGGCCCCAGGGCCGTCCAAGGCTGCCCGGAAGGAGAACTTTTGAAGTCAAGCAGTGGCGAAGCGCCCTGGCTCGCCTAGAGCCCTACCAAGCAATGTTCTAAGAGCCTTTTGTTGCTCCCACGGCATGTTCTTAGAAGAGTTCTGGCGGAGTCTGTCTTGTTTGAGCACATCGGGCTTATGTTCTAAGAGTTTTGTTTTTGTTCATAGAAGATGTCTCGGTAGGCCTATAGGAATGCCGGGACGGTCGGTCCCTGCTCAATGAGGGGTCGGGTCTTCTGGGGACGCTGTATTCAGGACCTCGCATGTCTTGATCTTGGCGTCGTGATTGTATCACAACGGGCGTTTTCTCTTGGTTGCGGGCCCGAGGACTCTCGCAGTTCGACCCGGCTCGAACAATGCTTTCGAAAGATGGGGTTTAGGGTTCCCGTCGTATTTTGCAACGTCGGATCTCAGGGAATATACCGATACCGTTGCTCCTCCTGGAGAGCTTTCGTCACCACGGCCAGGTCCTCCTCGAAGTCTTGGTCACAACGCTGCCCTGGAGGGGGTCCCGGAAGTAGCGGCATCAGTGCATTTTTGTCAAGGGCAGCGATAGGGGGAAGCCGGGGACGCATCGACCCCCAATCGCCCATTGATCGCCGACAGGAGCCCGTTAGCCTCAATTTGCCCAGGAACGTGCGGTTTCACGATCGGGAGCCTACCGCCGATCTGTCGGTCGTCGTCGGCGTCGTCGTCGTCGTCGTCCACCTCCTCCGCATCGTCCGCGTGCGGGCTTGCTCCGTGCAGGGGCCCTCCCCCCCAGGCGGGCCAGTCACCCGGCTTTGGTTTTGGGCGTTCGCTGTCGGTTGTCCGGGTTGCCTGGGGTTCGGGCGTTTTGCTTTCCTGTTGGAAGTACTGTACCGTCTCTTTCGCTACTCACTATTGCCGGCTCGTACCTCCCCCCCTCCTCCTCCCCCTCCTCCTCCCGGTGTGAGGGTCTCCATCCCAATCCCCTCGCAGCAGGCCCCCCCATCCTCCTCCCCTTCCTTCACGATCCTCCTCCCCCTCCCTTCTCCACCTCCCCCGTCCTCCTTCTCCCCTCCTTCCTCCCGCCTCCCTCCCCCTCCTCACCCCCTCTCCCCGCCTCCCTTCCCCTTCCCCCTCGCCTCCGCCGCCTCCCTCCCTCCTCCTCGATGCTCCCCTCCTCCTCCCCCTCCCTCCTCCCCCCATCGCCTCCGCCCCCCTCCGCCTCCGCCCCCCTCTGCGACTCCCCCCCCGCCCCCCGCCGGCGGCGCCAGGCGCGCGACGCCCTACGCCGCGGCGCCGCCGGAGCCGGCGGGGCCTGCGGCCAGTCGTCGCCGCCGGGTCCGTCGTGTTGCTGCCGGCCGTTCGGCGACCACCCCAAGGCCCTTGGGGTAGTCGCCGAACGGCCGGTTCGGGTTCGACTTTCGGGCCGGTTTCGATTGGCCAGTTCGGTTCGAATCGGCCGGTTCAGTTTCAGCCGGTCCGGTTTGGGCTCCGGTTTGGGCGGTTCGGTTGGAGGGGGCGCCGGTTCACGGTTACCAGTTCGGTTCAGACCCTTCCTGCAAGGGTGTGCTTACGCTGGGGTGTGGTCTGCGAGGGCGACGACGCATCCGTTCCCAAAGATCCAACGCACTGAACAAAAATCTAGACTGAGGTTTTTCGCTCATTTCGGCCCCTAGGGGCCCTCCCCGGGCCCCAGGACCGTCAAACAACGATTCAGGACGAAAAACTGGTCCTGGGGAGTGGGTCGAGACTTCAGGGGACCCCGTATTGAAAAAATCACGACATCGGATCTATGGGAATATGTTCCAGAGCGTTCCGGAACGCTCTCAGAGCGTTCCAGAACGCTCTGAGGAAGCCGCGGCGCCCGAGACACGCTCCAGAGCCGCCAGATCTCAGAGGTTCTGGATGTATCCTCACCCGGATTCATCCTCGTCCTGGCTTCGTCTTATGGGGCGTGGTCCCGCTGGGGTGTGGTTTGCGATCGGCGCCGTTGGGGCCTGGGTCCAGACCTCCTCGCGTCATGAGAAGATCGTGACGAGAGGTTTTCCGCTACTGTCTGCCTCTGGGGCTCTCACCAGGCTTCGGGCCCGTCAAAAAAGGATTCTGGATGAACCAGTCCCGTGGAATTGGTCGAGACCTCCCGGGGTGGACGTGAAGAACAAATCATGACGTCGGGGGTCCAGGGAGGCCACGACAGTGTCTTCGTCGGGCCTCCTCGTGGCGCGGCGGAGAGGACCATATCGATGTCTCCGCCCGCCCCCCAGGGTGCCCCCAGGGTGCTGGTTACAAACTCGGGGGCGGAAAAGAGGGGGGTGATGACTAGGGGGGGGTGGATATCATGGCGGGGGCCATGATATTTCCCCAGATGTCATGGCGCCTCTTCTTGTTTCATTACGTCCCTGCCCCCCCCGCTTGGCCGCGCATATGCCGCCGGTCATGATTTGCACCCCCCCCTCTTGAACACCCCCCTCTTGGCCGCTCCCGACAAACCACACCCTTTGCAAAACATGCCGTTCGGAGTCGCCGAGTCGCCGTCGATGGCCAGAGGGTCGATGCGTCGAGGTTCGGGGAAGCGTGCAGTTTTTTGAGGTAGACGCCGGTCGAGCACCAGGAGGGACAGTCCTGAAGCGAGTTGGGCACTTGGAGGAACCGGGCGGAGCAGAAGGGTGCGGAAAGATCAAGCCGCGCTCAGAGAATGAATCCTTCACACGAGGGCCAGAGGTGCGCAGGGGCGTCGAGGAGCAGGTAGAGTCCACGAGGTGCAAAGGGACACGTAAGAGTCGAGCTCGCCGGATCTCGGGTCTGCTTCGACGGGCCCCGTTCGACGGGCCCGTTCTGAGTCCTGGCGGTCCAGCTGTCCTGGTGTTCGCAGCGAGAGCTCGCGCGAAAGTTCAGACTGGGTCTTCTCGTTCTCTCGACCAGGGGGCCACATACGAACCCTACCCGTACCCCCCACGATTTCTGAGGGGGAGGGTGGGGTTCACTTCGCTCGCGAGCTCCCGAACGAAGTAAACCCCACCCTCCCCCTTAGAAATCGTGGGGGGCAGGGGTAGGGTTCGTATGCGGTCCCCTATCGACGGCCCCGCCGGGCCAAGCCGAGAGCCCCCCGAGCCCGGGGCGTACAGCTCCCCGGGAGGTCTGCTCCTCACTTTTGTGTATCGGCCTCCGACGGCCGTGTCCTGGCCCTGGGTCCCTCGAAAGTGAGTCTTAGGTCGGGCCTGTCCCTCTGCAGGGGGAGCGTTCAAAAATAGTAAATTATCCCAGTGCGACCCTACCTAGGAGTTGGAGGATCTAGGAAAGCAACAGCTAACATCTATATGAAGCTAAGCTAAGCTAATATTAAGCTAAGCTAAGATGAAATATGATAAGCTAAGATGAGATAAGCCACGCTAAGCTAAGGGAACGTCACTGGGGGAACCGCGGGGCGGATGCTGGGGGAACCGCCCGGGGCGTGCCCCTTTGCCCCGCCCTTTAAGCAAACAGAGTAAGAACCCTTCTAGGCAGAACCTAGGTAGGGAAAAATCCTCTGGGGACGATGTGTTGACCATGTTTGACCATCTTTGGGGTATGTGTTATGATTATGTTCCTGCGAAGTCGGCCTGTATTGGGACGGGCCCGACCTAGGAGTAGTCGCTGCGAGGCGAGGACTGGTCCTCGGGGACGGGGCGGGGGGTGCTGGAGCCGCGGACTGAAAAAAGCGTCTTCGGATGCCGGGGGGTTCGATGCTCGAGGTTCGATTCGATGGTCGAGGTTCGAGGATCGGCGTTTGAGGGTCGAGGCGTCGCCTGGGCGTTTGCCTCCTGGGGCCGTGGATGGGGCCGTCTCGCCTCCAGGGCTGGATGCCCCTCGAGATTCCTGGCCAGAGCCCACCCCAGATGGGGGCGGGTGCCGCCGATGTTTGAGAGGGTGTCGTCGTCCGTCCGTCCGTCGGTCGGTCAACTGTCGCTGGTCGTCGTCTCGTCCTTCTTCACCCTGTCGGGAGGAAAGTGGGCAGCAGGAGGGAGCGCGAGGTCCTCCACCCCCTCGTCCCTCCTCCCCCTCGTGAGCGCTGCCCTCCCTGCGTCCCCCCTCCCTCCTGCTCCTGCTGCTGCTCCCCGTCATCCGCCCGTCTCGCTCCAACCCCCTCCCCCATCCGCCATCCTCCTGGCCAACGGCAATTCCAAGCAACGGGTGCAGGCATCATGAGTGGCCTCTGTCGGGACTCGTCGTTGCCTTCCTTCTCCTCCTATCCCTCCAGCTCATAGCATCCGACTGCCCAGCGTCTTGTCCACCCCGACCCAACGTCTTGCCCAGCCGAGGAGGCAGAGGAGGGGCCGACGATCCTACAGAGCCGTTTCAGGCGACGTTCCGTCGCGCATATTGCGCCAGCGATGCATGACATCCGTGCGAGTACCTTGGAACGTGCCTCGTCGTGGTCGCCTCGTTGTCGTCGTCGTCGTCGGCGGCGGCGGCGTCGGCGGCGGCGTCGTCGTCGTCATCAACCTCGTCAACGTTGTCAGCCTCGTCAACCTCGGCGTGGTCGCCTCGTGGCCGTCCTTGGCGGCGGCGGCGGCGGCTGGCGGCTATACCCAGGCGGCCGCGAAACGGCAGCAGCGGCCGCGCGGCGGCGCCGCAAGCGCGGCGGCAGCGTGGAGGCCGTTTCTCCGCGCCGGCATCCCCCCTTTCGTCGTCGTCCTCCTCCTCCTCCTCCTCCTCTTCCTCCTCCTCCTCCTATCTGTTCCTCCCTCCTCCTCCTCCTCCTCCTCCTCCTCCTCCTCCTCCTCCTCCTCCTTATGTTCCCTACTCCCTCCTCCCTCCTCCTCCGTCACTCGCGACGAACCCATCCTTTCTCATGATCGGCTGAACTCAGGTTGTTGGGTCGGTTTTGCATCAAAAACAAGTTGCTGCGCCTCGGGAGAGTGCTGGCTCACGGCATCTCTCGCTGCGTACCCCATGTTGGCAGGGCCAGACAGACCTTGTGCAGTGACCTCTTCCGGCGAGAAGTGAGAAGGAGAAGGCCCTCTGCCTTCTCAGAAGGCGGCGGGACTGTTCAGAAGCCCCCGCGCCTTCAGGGAAGCTCTCTGCGTTTTCGGGGAAGGCTTAGAAAACTTCTCGGAAGGCCCGGGGACTTCCGAGCCTTCTGGAACGGCCCACCCCTCCTCGCTTCCCCTCCAGGGCTAGCCGCCGACTCTCGGGGCCCTCTGCCTTGGAGAGGGCGCGCATGTTGCCTGCTCCCTCGGCGTCCTTCTCCCTCGCCCATCGGCGCTCGCGGATCTCTCAAAGCAATGTTCGGGGGTGGACAGAAGCCCCAACAGTGACACCTCGATTAGTGAATTTTCCGTTGTCGGTTCTCGAGAGGGCGCCGTGGCCGTCATTTTCCAGGCTTGCGCCCGCCAGGTTTGGGCCTCAGGTCGTTTTCACTAAACCACGTTTTACTAAAGGGGGGTCTGTCCATCCCCGAAATGTGTGCAAGTCGTTGCTTGGCGGTGTTGCTGGATGGCCGCGGACACCCCAAGGAAGAGGATAAGGAGGAGGAGGAGGAGGAGGAGGAGGAGGAAGCTCCTGCAGTGCCGCTTCCGCAGGGGTGGAAGCGCGCAGGGACGGGAGGGGGGCCGCAAGGCGAGCGCCTTCTTGACCCAGCTCAATCATCCCCTCTTCGCAGCCTCCGAGGGCCACCATTCTCGATACGTATCGTGCGCCGCATGGCGGTTGACTTTAAACCGAAGGACCCTTACGGAGAAGGCGTCCGCCTTGAAGGCGCATCGGGCGCATTGCTGTGGGCAAACCGGCGGGAGGAAGCATAGGCATCCCAAGATATGGCATGTTTCTTTGGTCACGGTTCTGAGGACCCACACCTGCGCTTCACCCATGGTCTCACCCCTTGTCGCCTTCGCACCTGCCCCTCTTTCCGGTGGCAGGCCAGTCCAGGAAGGGAGGGAGGGATGAAGGGGAGGGGGAGGAAAAGCACTTGGAGGAGGAGGACAAGACGGAGGACGAGGAGGAGGAGGAGGAGGAGGAGGACAAGATGGAAGACGAGGAGGAGGAGGAGGAGGAGGAGGAGGAGGAGGAGACGGCTCACTTGTCTCATCGCTTCTCTTCTCCCTCTCTCCTCCTCCCCCTGGCCCCCTCCGTCCGCGGCGCCACGGCGGGAGCCCTCCAGCCGTGTAGCGGTGTGAGCTTCTCTTGCGGGATCGTGATAGGTCGGGCATGTCCCCTACAGGCGGATTTTGGACGCAAAGTAAGAAATAGGCAAAACATAAGCAGCAATATTCAAACATCGCATAAATAGATCGTCCCCAGACTATCCATAAGGGCTTTGCCCCCGCCGGCCCCCCTCTCTGGGATGATGGGCAATGCAAGAGCGAAATCATGAGGCCTTGGCGCCGCCGTGAAGCAGCGTCGGGACTTCACGCGAAGACGATTAGTAATCCGCAAGGCTAATTGAGATTATGATGATATTGTTGAATTCGGTGTTTCATTTCGAGCTTGCTCGCGTATGCTGTGCAACAAGTTTTTCTACGAAGTATTGAAATGTTGCCAATCCCATGGGTGTTTCGACCCTGACCCCGGCGATCTGTGTGAGGGGTGCCGCCAAATTTCAAGACATGCGGCAAATCCCATGCGTTTTCCGACCCTGACCCCGCCGATCTGCATGAGGAGCGCCACCGAATTTCAGAAATGTGGCAAAGACCTTGTTTTTGGACCCTGACCCCGCCGAGCTGCGGGAGGGGGGTCACCGAATTCCAAGACATGTGGCAAATCCCTTGTGTTTTTCGACCCTGACCCCGCCGATCTGCAGGAGGGGTGCCACGGAACGTTTCAGAAATGTGGCACATCCCATGGGTGTTTCGACCCTGACCCCGCCGATTTGCGTGAGGGGTGCCGCCAAATGTCAGAAATATGGCGAACCTTGACGCTGGCGATCTGCGGTGGGGGTGCCTAGTCCTCGTCTTTCTCCCCCCGCGCTTCCCCCCCTTCCTCCTCTCCTCTCTTTCCCCTCGTTCCCCTCCCCACCCGGCCACCCACCTCCTCCCGTCGACGACGACGACGACGCCGACGACGACGCCGACGACGACAGGGACGACGACGGACGACGACTACGAGGACCGACGACGACGACGAGGACCGACAACGACTGTCTCACCCCCCCCGTACCCGTCGCGCGCTCCGCCCCAGGGGGCAGCCCGGTCAGTTCGACGGCCTCGATAGCTCGGGCCCGGCGGTGCGCAGCCCCGAGCGGGGTCGTCGTCGGCGTCGGCGTCGTCGTCGTCCTCGTCCTCGTCCTCGTCCCCGTCGTCCGTCGTCCGTCGTCCGTCGTCGTCGTCGTCGTCGCCGCCGTCGTCGAGGTCGGTCCCCGCCCTTGTCGGTCGCCGTCTTCGTCGTCGTCGTCTTCGTCGCCGTCGGTCCCGTCGTCGGTGGTCATCGCCGAAAAGGATAGGATGGGGGAGGGCGGAAGGGCGAAGAAGGGGAGGGAGGCGAAGGGGCCCATGGAACCACCCCTGGTGGCTTCCAAACTTGGGGTGTTGAAGCCAGCGCCTCGCTGGAGACATCCTCACGATCTGCTCTGACAGCAGAGGCGTCTGGGGAACCAAAGAGGCAAACCGCCTGAGGCATGCCTCCAATCTGGGCGCGCACGGGGCCGTGCAGCCACCTCTTGGCGGCTCCCCCACTGGGGTGTCGAGTCCAGCGCCTCGCCAGAGACATCCTCACGATCTGCGGGTCAGAGCGCGAGAGCGTCGCAAGTGCAAGTGCGAGTGAGGCTCACTGTGAGTGAGTCTGGGTGTGAGTGAGCCTGGGTGTGATTGAGTGAGAGTGTGGGTGGGTCATTTAATAGTGAGTCTAAGTGCGAGTGAGTCTGAGTCTGGGTGCAGTCCGAGTCAGGAAGAGGAAGATGTGAAGAGTCGCTGCGTGAGTGAGTCGGAGTACCGCCCGCGTGAGGAAGACGAGGATGTGAGTGAGTCTGAGTGCGAGTGAGTCTGAGTATGAGTGAGTCTGAGCATGACTGAGTCTGCATGCGAGTGAGTTTGAGTTTGCGGAGTTTGAGTGAAGAAGAAGAGGAGTAGGGGAGAGGGAGGTGTGCGGAGTGTGCCGGAGACGGTTGCGTGTGAGTGATGTTGAGTGTTGACGAGGAAGGTTAAGTATGGTTGGGTCTGAGCGAATGAGACAGGAGGAAGCGAGGAGCAGGAGGAGGGTCAAGGTGAGGAGTCGGAGGCGTCCACTGTGGGGAATCATTGCTCGGTACGGGTTCACATTCAGGAGAAGAGGAAGAGGGGGTCGAGGAGTAAGGAGGGAGCAGCAGGATTCGCCAATCAATCGCGCACGCTTCTGCCCACGCGTCCTTCCGGATGCCTGACCCCGTGGTGGTGGCGAGGGGAGCGGGAGGCGGAGGAGCAGGACGACAGGGAGGTGGCGGGCGAGGACCGACGGGCGCAGGAGGATGCGGTTGGGGAGGCGAGGGGCGAGAGGCGAGCGCGGGGGGCACGGGTGAAGAGGAGGAGCGAGGAGAGCGAGGAGGAGGAGGAGGAGGTGGAGGAGCGAGGAGGAGGAGGAGGAGGAGGAGGAGGAGGAGGAGGAGGAGGGCGACGAGGAGGAGGAGGAAGAGTGAGGAGGAGCGAGGAGGAGCGAGGAGCAGGTGTTCGTCCGGAACCTGCCGCAGGGCGCCACGGAGCGGGTGCGCCCACGCGCGCGCGCGCCACGCGGCGGCACGGGGTCCTCGGCACCGCGCGGCGGCACGCGCTCCCGGGCCCGGCTCCGCGGCGGCCCGCGCCCTCTCGAGGCAGCGAGCGCACAGGGTCACCGGGCCTCCCCGGGAGAGGCCTGGGCTGCCCCAGGAGAGGTCCTCCTCCTCCTCCTCCTCCTCCTCCTCCTCCCTCTCTCCTCCTCCTCTTCCTCCTCCTCCTCCTCCTCCTCCTCCTCCTCCTCCTCCTCCTCCTCCTCCTCCTCCTCCTCTAGGCGTGGTGCAGGCGTGTGCAGGATCAGACGTCACTCGGGCGGACAGGGTCACCAGGCATCACCTGGGCGGACAGGGTCACCAGGCATCACCTGGGAGAGACCTGGGAGCTTGCGAGTCACGGGGCGATGTCTGACAGGGCTGGCACGAGGAGAAATCCGTCTCGGAGCGTTCCGGAACACTCCGAGGAGGACGCGGCGCCCGAGACATCTTCCAGAGTTGCCGGATCATAGATTCTCGGTGCATCTTCACTCCTCACCCGATGTTATCATTTTTGTGGTTTTGTCTTAGATCTTTTGCCCGTTCCTTCGGATGCGTGGCTCGTCTCCTGTGGGAAGCTAGGGGTGATCGGGTTTTCTCGGGAGAGCACCGTTTCAGTTCCTGGATTCTTTGGCTCCTTTCTCGTCCTCCCTTGTTCCTTGAGCTTCCTGATCTCGATCCTCCTCCCCCTCGCCCTTCCTCCTCCCTGAATGGTTGCCCAAACTAGTGTCCCGAGCTGGTCGATGAATCGAGTGCTGCGCACTTCCCCCCTGGACATACCGTTCCTCCTCCATTCCTTCTCCTTAGCTCCTTTCTCTCGCACGCCGAGACGTGTTGGTAGAGCGGGCCGGGCGGTTCGCCTGAGACTTCCTCACCATTTGTGCCCCCGAAGCTTGAAAGTTACAACAGCTTCACGGATGGAGGGTGGGCCGCTTTGAAAATGAAATGCTCGCCTTAGCGCCGCGCACATTCGCTTTTCACATGTGCAAGAGTTTCACGGATTGAGGGCGGGTGGTCTTCAACATGAGGTTCTCGTATTAGCCCCGCGCACATTCGTTGTAGAAAGGTGGAAGAGATTTGCGGATGGAGGGCAAGAGGTTTTCGAAATTGGGTTCTCGCTTGAGCGCCGTGCACATTCTATCTAAAGAGTTGCAAGAGCTTCCCGGATGGAGGACGGTATATGTTCAACAGGTGGTTCTGTATATATATATATATATATATATATATATATATATATATCGCTGCGCGCATTCGATTTAAACATCTGCAAGAGCTTCACGGATTGAAAATTGACGGTTTTCGAATCTTGGTTCTCGCGTTAGCGCTGCGCACATTTGTCTCAACCAAATGGCAAGAGTTTCACGGGCTCTCATTGTGAACGTTTCAGAAATGGTGTTTCCAATCGATGGAGGACTGTCAGGGCGCCGCAGTTATATAGATTCAAACCCAGGAACGGCGATCAAGCACGAATCAGAATCATGAAGTCTCAACAATAAGGCTGATTCTTTTTGTTGAATTCCCAGGGAATGTGTTCCGGCACACTTCAGGATTTTCAAACGGTTGTCATCCAACGAGGCTTGGGGGTGGAGGGTTTATGGCAACGTCGCTGATGAGTCTTATGTTTACTCTGGTCGTCCTTGTCCATCGGCTCCCTTCTCCGCCCCCTCCTCCTCCTCCTGCTGCACCTCCTGCTCCTCCTCCTCCTCCTGCTGCACCTCCTCCTCTTCCTCCTCCTCCTCCTCTTCCTCCTCCTCCTCTTCCTCTTCCTCCTCCTCCTCCTCCTCCTCTTCCTCCCCCTCCTCCTCTTCTTCTGCTCGTCCTCGTGCCTCCGCGCCCCTGTCGAATCATGCAGAGGGGGGGCAGGACTTGTCCGCCCCGCGCGCGCGGTGCTCAGAGGGCAGGAGCCTCGCCGGTCGACTCTGCGGCCCGCCGCCCGCCGGCGCCCCGAGCGCTGCGCCGTGGGCCCCTTCTCCCTCCCCGGCCCGCGGGCCCCCGTGCGCCCCTCCTGCCTCGCCTCGCCTTTGGCTCTCGGCTCCCCCCCTCCTCCTCCTCCTCCTCCTCCTTCTCCTCCTCCTCCTCCTCCTCCTCCTCCTCCTCCTCCTCCTCCTCCTCCTCCTCCTCCTCCTCCTCCTCCTCCTCCTCCTCCTCCCCGTCCCCCTCTTCCTCCCCCCCCCCTGCGGGACGGGAAAATTACCACGACCACTGCTTCTTGTTTGCGCCGCCTTCCAGCCGGCCGAAAAGGAAGCAGTGGCTGTGGCCACTTCCCTGGTGCCAAGCTTAGCGAGAATGACCACAGCCACTGCTTTGTTTCTGCTGGCTGGCAGGCGGCAACACAGAAAAAAACTGGCCCTGGTCGTTTTCACGTCCCGTACCCCCTCCCCTCCCTCTCCGTGTCCTCTCCTTGCCCTCGTGTTTCTTGGCTCGTGGGTGTGCGTGTTTCTCCCTCTCCCTCCTCTCGTGGCTTCTTCTCCCCGTCCCCCGTCCGTCCGTCTTGTCGGCCGGTCTGCCCTTCCCCGTCGCCCTCCTTCGTTCTCCCCATCTCGCTCCTCGGCTCCTCGCTTTCCTGCCCGTCGTTTGCCCTTGCCTGGCCCGCTTTCCTTTGTCGGCCTGCCCCGCGGTCCGACTCAGAGTTCCGGCGCTGCCTGCTGATTGCCGAGTCTTCTCGGGACGCGAGTGCGTTTTGTCAACATTGCCTTGTGGTTTGCGACGCTTGCCTCAAGCTGTGGGAGGAGGGTGGAGATGTTGGATGGCCAAGCCTACGTGTTTCCAGGAGACCATCTGGGGCCCATGCCAAATACCGCTCTGGGTGCCGTGACGTCCCATAAACACTTTCGAGGTGGATAAGTCTGTGGACAACGCGGCCGTTGCCTTCGGCGCATTGCAAAGTCGGAGAAAGGGTAGATTTGTGCACGGCTTGTTTTGGTTCTAGAGCAGGTCCCACATGGTACTACAACTCCTGGATCCCCTCCCCCTCGGATCCCTGCGTCGAAGGGGAGGAAACTGCATCAACATACTCGCCGGTCGTTGAAAGTATCCCCTTCTGGATTCCCAGATCCCACTCTACTGCAGGCGCCTTCCTACCTCAGTGATCGAGTGGTTTTCCCTCTACCCTCCTCTTCGGGGGGCGGGCGGAAACCCACACCTGCTTGCAGTTCCTTCCTGTTTCCTGCTTCTGCCCACCTCTTCCGACCGACGGGTCAACATCAGTTCTTGGAGTTCTTTGCGGATTGCTTGGGTCTGCGTTGGGACCGGGACGCCCTCCCCGGCGCATCCGGCGCCGCCCCTGGCGCGCAGATCCAACACATCTGCGCGGACCACCAAAAGCGTATGTTAATGCAAATTGCTGTTCCTCTACCCATCAAGAACTCAAGAACCCATAACCCTGATAACACGATGAAAACGTGGCCTCACTGAGGTCCCCGTCCTCGCATTAGGGATAACACATTTGACCGGCTTGGTCTGATACATCCGCAGAGAAGACCCCATGTCCCTGATGTTTCTGGCCCTCCTAGTTTGAGTCCCCGTCCAAAGGGCTACAGGTCCTTTTCTTGCTTACCGTCAACTGCAGCCTCACCCGCACCGCCGCCCCAGCAGCTGCGCGAGATCTTCTCGGAGGCGGGGCTGGTCGCCGCGGTCGAGGCCTGCCTCCGCGCCGCCCCCTCCTCCTCCTCGTCCTCTCCCTCCTCCTGCTCCTCCTCCTTCACGTCATCCTCCTCCTCCTCATCCTCCTCGTCCTCCTCCTCCTCCTCCTCCTCCTCCTCCTCCTCCTCCTCCTCCTCCTCCCCGCTGCCAGCTCTCGCATTGGAGGGCGTCCCGCGGTGCATTTGCAGCGGTCCTGGCTGGGCCGATCCTGGGCCACGACCGATCGGCGATCGCCCAGACGACGACGACGACGACGACGACGACGACGACGACGACGACGACGACGACGACGAGTACGAGTACGAGTACGAGTACGAGTACGAGTGCGAGTACGAGTACGAGTACGAGTACGAGTACGAAGCGACGACGGCGGCGGCGGCGGCGGCGACAATGGCGACGGCGGCGGCGGCGACGACGGCGACGGCCTCGGGGAACGGGGCCTGAGTTTTCTTGTTGTTTTCGGCATCTCGGGGCCCTCCACGGGCACCGGGGCTGCCGGATAACGACTCAGGAGGAAGATCTGGTTCTGGGGGGAGGCTCGTTTCCCTCAGGACCCTTTTTCCCAATCTACCGAAGACCCTTTCGCGTGGTGAAGCCATTTTTCGTTTGGGCGGCGGCGCTGGCGATCGCAAGCGCGCCTGTGCGCGTTAGGCGTGGCGCGCCCGGGCACGGCAGCGCAAGCGCGGGTGGAGAAGAAGGCCGGGGTCAACGATAGGGGGGGATGGGCATAAGGGGCTTAAATCGACCCCCAAGCGCCCACTGATCGTCGATGGGGGCCCGATGGCCCCGACGTGCCCAGGAAGGTTCGGATTCACTACCGGGGGCCTGTCGCCGATCTGCCGGCGATGTGCCGCCGATTCCAGGTCGGTGCATCCCCCCCATATGCCAGTTTGCCCCCCATCGCTGCCCCTCAGAGGAGGGCGGCTGCGGAGGGGGGAGACGCAGGGGGGCCCGACCACAGAGAGTCCGCGGGGGCGGGTGTGCGCAGGCAGCCTCGGGCACCGAGCACCGGTGCAGGGCGGCAGCTGCCAAGTTCGGCGACCACAATCGGTACGGTTACGCCGTGGTGCAGTCTGCGAGCTGCGTTGTGGCGGCCTTTCCGGGGCCTCTGTGAGAGACAATGTCACAATTGTCGTCGTTGCGAGCGACACTGTCATCCTCGATGTGTGCTCCACTGTGCTAGACGGAGCGACAGTGTCATGTGATTCGGTTGCATTGGGTGACAGTGTCACCCGTTACCCGGGGGCGGGAGGGGCAGATATGACGGCAGGCAAACCGAACCCTTCGCAAACAGCACCCATTGTAGTCGCCGACAAGTGGCCTGGGCCTCTGGGGACCCTCCCGGGGCCCCAGGACCGTTCCCAAAACGGCTTAGCTTTAGGCCTCCCAGATGGAGTCGGAGTAGATGGGGTCGGAGGATCGCGCCGCATCGCCGATGCATCGGCGATGCGGCTCGATGTGGGGGCCAATTTCCTCCACGCCGACGTCGGCGATGCATCGCCAGCGTCGCTGGTGCATCGCCGATGCATCCTCGATGCATGGCCGATGTTTCCGCGATGCGGCGGGATCCTCCGACCCCATCTGCTACTCGGACCCCATCTAGGAGGCCTCTATCGGCAGTGAAAGACGGCCCCAGGGCGCTGGTCCAGACCTCATGGGGCCCGCGTCGACAAAGCATGGCCAAGACGTCGGGTTGAGTATCCCCTCTGGGCCAGGCGCCAGCCCTGGGCGCGCGTCCGGTGTTTGTGTGTGCCTTCCTGGCCGAGCCGGGAAGGTGCACGTTCCTGTGGGGGCCCGGGTGGGCCTGGCCGAGCAGGTGATGGTCGGAGGTCCGCGCCGCATCGCCGATGCATCGGCGATGCGGTTCGATGTGGAGCCCGATTTTCTCCGCGCTGGCGCCGCCGATGCATCGCCGGCGTCGTTGGTGCATTGCCGATGCATCGACGATGCATTGGCGATCCTCCGACCACATCCACGTCGACCCCATCTGGGAGGCCTCTAGGTGTACAGCTGGCGCCCTCCTACAGTCGGACCGAGGTATGAGATCGAGGTCGGCTCGGGGAGGGTACCCTGATGTTTTTCGGGTTCGTTGGAAGCTCTTGTGCATCCTGGGGGGAGGGAACCCTTGGATGTTTTGGTCGACAAAGGGTCTCATGTCCTTGAGGGATGCTCTTCTGGCCTAGTCCGACTGTACCTGAGCGCTCGGAGCAGTCTTAGGCACCGAGCCGGATGTCCCTCTGAGGAGGACTCGGGCGGGTGGGACAAGCGCGCGAGAGGGGAGCGAACGAGGGACAAGTTTACTAGAACTCTCCCTTGCCTCTCCGTTATCTTCCCCAGCCTCATGTTGCTCTTTCTGGCCCTCAGGCCCCTTTTGCACCCCACGTGGCCCCTCAAACACTTCCCCGTTTTCAACGCATTCGTCTGCAAATCAAGCCCTCAGAGCCCACGGCAAAATTCCGAAAACCTTTGGGGAGCCTCCCGCCGTCAGGTGGACGCGGGCCCCATGTGCACCGCCACCGTTCGCTTCCTGCGGCAGGACGGCCCCTCCTCGGTGGGCTGTCGTCGTCGATGTGCCGTTTTTTTTTTTTGTCCACAGGTTTTCTTAGGAAGCGGAGAACGAGGAGGAGGAGGAGGAGGAGGAGGAGGAGGAGGAGGAGGAGGAGCAAGCCAGCTACAGGTCAAGGTGGCATGTGATAAATTAGTCTGGCGAAGGACCCAAGCATATGCAGTTGTGAATGCCGCAATTGTGAATGCCATCTTCGCCCGCGCTCCCTATGTGGCCACGGCTTCCCGCCAGAGCCCGACATGCTCAGGATCACGTTCGTGGCCGTCTTCGAAGGCGCCGACGACGACAGGGCCGGCGTCCCTCTGACCGACGAGCAGAAGCAGGAGAGGGCTTCGAGAGCCATGAGGGAGGAATTATCGGTGCACGTCAAGAGTGCGGAGTACGACGCCCAGGCGCGGTTGTTGAAGCAACACAACTATGGGGCCACGATCCTCGTGAGGGGTGTGCCGAAATGGCCCGAGGGCCGCCGTGGGGACCCTGCCACTGGGGGCCTTCGGCGCAGCTCCTTATGCGGTCTCGTGAAGGGTGTTCCGAAATGGCCCGAGGCCGCCGTGGGAACCCTGCCATTGGGGGCCTTCGGTGGAGCTCCCCACGGGACCACGATCCTCGGGAGAGGTGTGCCGACATGGCCTGAGGCCGCCACGTGCGCTTTGTTACTGGCGCCTGCGGTGGAGCTCCTACGGGGCCACGATCCTCGCGAAGGGCGTGCCGAAACGGCCCGAGGCCGCCATGCGCACTTTGCTACTGGCGCCTTTCGGTGGAGCTCCTACGGGGCCACGATCCTCGTGAGGGGCGTTCCGAAATGGCCCGAGGCCGCCTTGCGCTTTTTGCTACTGGCGCCTTCGGTGGAGCTCCTACGGGGCCACGGTCCTCGAGAAGGCGATGGTGATGGTGATGAGGTGATGATGATGATGAGGATGGGGATGGGGATGAGGATGAGGATGAAGATGATGATGATGATGACAATGATGATGATGATGATGATGATGATGATGATGATGATGATGATGATGATGATGATGACGATGATTGCGAGAAGGACGGAGGGGGCAGCGGGAGGAGGAAAGAACGCGGGGCGCCGTCTCTCCAAATCGAGGACCCAACACAACAGGATGGTTGGGAAAAAGGTATGCCGATCGTGACTCCATCACGGGCCCCGCGCTTCCAGCTATTGCGCGCCAACAGGGGCCACGCGCCTGCGCGGGCGGCCACGCACCCCGCAGCGGGCCGCCAGCAGCTGCGCTGCCACTCCCCGCGTGAGCGCTGCGTCGAGCTGCGCCCGCCAGCGGCGCAAGGCGTTGCCAGGCAGCCGGCCCCTCTGGTGGGCACGCATTGCATGCTCCGCCGCGCAGTGTTCCAGCAGGGCCTCCGCGCGCGCTCCGAGGCGGCCGAAGGCCTCGTGCGCGGCTGGCCAAACCGCCCTGCCGCGGGCCGGGGGGTAAGTAAGTTAGCGGTCACATTTCTCGCCTTCGACCCCGCGCGCCGCGCAGCCCGGCTCCCGCGCAGCCCCCGGCTGGTAGGCGACCGACATGGGATGCCGGACCTTGACGTCGACCAGGCAGTCTGGCAATTCTGCGACGCCATAGGCTCAAATGTCCAGCCATGCTTCCGCGCGGCTCGTGGACGACTCGGGGACAAACAGCTCGCGGCGGACGTACCCAGCGGCCTCCGCGAGGATGTCCGCGTAGACATCGGCAAGGTCGTCGTGCCGGCGGGTCCGGAACGGCCCGCATTCGCACATGGCCGCATGGTCGCCGTGCGCGTCCAGCTGGTCGAGGCACAGCTCCTGCGTGGACGTCTTCTCGATGAGGCATTGCGCGCTGGGCGGGCATGGTGTGGGAATGCCCAAGCGGAAGCGCACGGCCTCGACCCACTCGCTGTTTGCGAGGGCGACGCCAGGGACAGAGAGGTCGGCTGCGAGCGCCGCGCCCGCCGTCGGCCCTGCCGCGCTGAGGAGGCGCGTCTGGTCCCGCGTCGCAGCCCTCGCGAGCAAGTCCGAGCAGCGCGCCGCGGCCGAGTGCTGCAAATACCTGCTGAGTAGGTGCTGCTCTGGGGCCTCTGGGCGGAGCGGGTCGCTCGCGCACTCTGCTGGATGCGAGGCAGGGCGGCCGCACCCGGCCAGGGCGGCGATGCCGCGCTCCCGCAGCATGTCCAGGCTGCCGCCCGAAACGGCGTCGTCGACGCCGTCGTGCTGCTTGACGTCACGGGCGACCGCAGCCGCCTCGCCGCCGGCGCCGGCCCAAGAGGCGACCTCTGCGCGGAGTGCGGGGCCATGCTCGACGAGCCGCGCCGCCCGGGCCAGCAGGATGATGCGCGAGGGCACGTCAACGTGCAGGCCAGCAAGCCAGACTGGGAGACCAGTCCGCTGGAGTTCCGCCTCGGTGAGCTGCTCTGGGCGCACGTCGATCGACGCTGCGACGACGCCCACGACGCTCCGGTCCAGGACGCGGGCGTGGGGCAGCAGCGCGCTGCACGGTACGACTCCAGCATCATAGTCAAGCGCATGGGCGACGATGCCACGGCATAAGGCGAAGGCGGCCTGCTTGGCACCAGCCCGTGGTGCTAACCACATCATCTCAAACGCGGCGCCGGCGAGGCGGATCGCCCGGTCCAGGCGTTGCCGCGTCTGCCTTGGAACGCAAGCGGCGTAGAGCGGCATAGCTTGGTCGCCGCGAGAATGCGCGCCGCGAGGGCCCGTGCGTCTCCTGGGAGTGCGTCCAGCGGGGTGCCAGCCAGCGCGGGCACATGGAACGCGCATTTCGCAAGCTGCAGCGGGAGGTTGCGGGCCGCCGCAGCCGCCTCCACAGCAAGAAGAGGAGGAGGAGGAGGAGGAGGAGAAGGAGGAGGAGGAGGAGGACGAGGAGGACGAGGAGGAGGAGGACGAGGAGGAGGAGGAGGGAGGAGGAGAGAGGAGAAGGAGGAGGAGGAGGAGGGGAGGAGAGGAAGAGGAGGGGTAGGAGGACGGGGAGGAAGAGGAGGACGGGAGGGAGGAGAGGAGGAGAAGGGGAGGAGGTAGGAGAGAGAAGGAGGAGGAGGAGGAGGAGGAGGAGGAAGGAGGAGGAGTAGGAGGACGGGGGAGGAGGAGGAGGAGGAGAGGAGGAGAGGAGGAGGAAGGAGGAGGAGGAGGACGAGGGGAGGGAGGAGAGGAGGAGGAGGAGGACGAGGAGGAGGAGGGGAGGGAGAGAGGAGGGAGAGGAGGAGGAGGAGGAGAGAGGAGGAGGAGGAGGGGAAGGAGGAGGAGGAGAGGGGAGGAGGAGGAGGAGGAGGAAGGAGGAGGAGGAGGAGGGAGGAGGAGGAGGAGAGGAGGACGAGGACGAGGGAGGACGAGGAGGAGGAAGCGGACGAGAGGAGGGGAGGAGGAGGAGGAGGAGGATGAGGAGGGAGGAGGAGGAGGAGGAGGAGGAGGAAGGAGGAGGGGGAGCGGAGGAGGGGACGGAGGAGGAGGAGGAGGAGGAGGAGGAGGAGGAGGAGGAGGGGAGGAGAAGGAGGAGGAGGAGGAGGAGGTGAAGGAAGTCGAGGAGGAGGAGGAGGAAGAGGAGGAAACGTGATGAGGAGGAGGGCGGAGGACGGCGACGACGACATCGTCGATAACGCAACGACGGCGTGGAGAAAAATGAAGCCGGATGATGAGGAGTTGTAGCAGCAGGGAGGAGCGAGGAGGGAAGAGCGGCCAGGATGACGAGGAGAAAGAGGAGCGAAGTGTGAGGAAGCAGGAGGGGGTAGCGAGGAGCAACCAGGAAGGAAGGAGGGATGAGGATGAAGGGAGGAGTGGGAGGAGGTTGGAGACATCGGGCGGGGCTAGGACGAGGATACATCCGTTCCAGAGCGTTTCAGAACGCGCTCAGAGCGTTCTGGAACACTGAGAAGGCCGCGGCACCCGATTCATCCTGCAGAGCCGCCGGATCTCACAGTTTCTCGATGTATCCTCCCCACAGTGTGATCTCGTGCTGGCTTCGTTGTAAGACAGACGGAGGCCTCCTCAAATCACGAGGCTTGGCCCGTGAACGGGCGAGGCTACAGTGCCCTGGGCAAAGCGTGCGCGTGCGCATGGGATAGCAACCGTTGTGCCTCCGAGGAGGGGGTGGGGAGAGGAAAAACGAGGGGGTGCGGTCCTCTTGCACGGATGCAATATTCAGACGAATGCATCCTCATTTTGCTGTACGATTCCAAACCAATGGGATACAGTATGCAAGACATCACGTGCGAGTCCTTGCAGGCGGTCGTCCCATCTCGTCGGAGGGCGTCGGCGCGACCGCGTGGCCCCGTTTGTGAAGTGTGGGCTCCGAAGTATGGTTTTCGGAGCCCATTCATTGTCCAGCCGCGCTGACCAGCAGGCACATCTGAACAGTCGACGTCCAAACAATTCACCAATGTTGGTGATTCGGGACGATATGCATCGCATGGTCGACCCTGTCCCTCATTCGTCTCATCTCGACGCCTCAAGCCAACAATCGAACGAAGCAGGTTCTTTTGAGGTACGTCTACGGAGTCCGTGCGCTGGTTCGTCAAAGCCGCGGCGGGTGACCCGAACGACAATGTTGGTGCAATGACAGACTGGAGCAGCTTATAAACCGCAAGCGGGCACGCGCTGAACCAAGGGCACAAAAAACGCCCCTACCCTGGTTTACGAGGCGCTGTGCGCTGAAACTCCTGTGCGCTGGCAGGGCAGACCCTGCGTGATGTGCCGCGTCCTGGCGGCTCTAGGCTTTGGGGGTTCCCAGGAGGTTTACAGACCACGCACTTGTAACCCAGGGTAGGGTCGTTTTTTTCCATCCCTCAACCTAACTGGATCCGGGATCCGCGGATCCATTTTTGCGCGTGCCCGACCTCCGATCGCAGTGTTGATCCCCCCGGCCCTCCCTTGTCCAGGGGTGAGCCCCGAGGCTCGGGCGAATGTTGATGCAATGGGGGGGCGACCCAGATGAGGGGTGGAGAAACGGACCTTGGAGTGGCCCAAGGTCCCCGAGGGCCCTTTCCTTCACCCTCTATTCACTTGGCATCGCTCGGACGTGTGCATTTTTCCTTCGGCGAGGACCATCCAGGAGCATCCTTGATCATTTGGCGAAGAAAACACGCATGAAACCAAAAAAAACACAGGGAATGCACGTCCGAGCGATGGCGAGTTCAGGCCACCCCCCAGTACCACTCGCCCGAGAGGCCCATGTTGGACCCACTTCCACGGGAACGCGCCGCGGAGTCGACCACGCTCGGCGTCGGCCGCCTTCTCCGTGGCGGCCGCGTCTGAGCAGGTGGGGTCGGAAGATCGCGCCGAATCGCCGATGCATCGGCGATGCGGGTCGATGTGGATCCCGAGTATCTCCACGCCGATGTCGCCGATGCATCGCCGACGTCGTCCGCGTGTCGGCAGTGCATCGGCGATGCGGCGCGATTCTCCGACCCCACCTGCTCGGACCCCTCCTGAGAGGTCTCTCTCAGCCACGCGCAAGGCGGAGTGGGGGGAGTGGGGATTGTGTCCTAGAAACACCCCTGCTTCGAAGAAGGCGCGGGCCTTGTCTGTAGACGTAACACCGGCGCCTTCTAAGAAGCAGCCTCCTTCTAAGAAGGCTTCCCCCCTCTCCATACCCCCCTTCTGCGCGCCGCGGAGATTGCCTCCACACCGACGTCGCCGATGCATCGCCGACGTCGGCCGTGCATCGCCGATGCATCGGCGATGCGGCACGAGATCCTCCGGTAATTTCCACATCTGCTCGAACCCAAATTTGTAGGCCTTTGGCCTCATAGCCGAGGACGGCCCCTCCTCCCGCCCCTTTCTCGTCCCCCTTCCCCCCCTCACTCTCTCTCCTTCTCCCTCTCAGGAATTCTTTCCCCTCCCCCCTCCCTCCTGCGTAGCCTTAAGTCGGGCACGTCCCTCTACTAGAGGAAAATTCACAAATAGTCAGAAAACAATCAGGGGATTATTTTGGGGGCAATTTTTGATTATCCTTGTAGTAATACAAAACAAAAATCGTTCAAAATCCCCCTGTAGGGGGACAGGCCCGACCTAACCGTAGCAATTTTGGCCCCGGGCCGAGGTCGAGGGCGAGGCCGGCGGCGGCGAACGGAGCCTTGGCCCCCCCCCTCCCTACCGCCCCCCCGCGGGGGGGCGCCCATGGCCCCGCGGCGCCTACTCTGCTGCGGCCTGGCGTCCGCGCTGGCCCCTGCGGTGGGCGCCGGCGCCGAGCGGCGGGGGCCTCGGGCGTCGATGCGGGTGGTGCAAGGAGGGGGTCCTGAGGGCTGGGGGCCCCCAAACACGGGGTGGTGACCACACCGTGCGGTGAGTCGGTGGGGATTCGGGGTCACCGCGCGGTTTTGGGGCTCGAGTCGTTCTCCGAGGACGTCTCGGGCGGCAGGGGCCTCCAGGGTCCCAAAGTCGTGCGTTGACGGACCGTGCGGTGAGGTCTCTTGGGGTTCCGAGGTCTCTGCACGGTCTGTCACCGCACCGTGTCGGGACTGGGTCCTACCCAGAGATCCAACGTGGTGGAAAAGTCAGGGCGGAGGTGTGTCTCAAAGTTCGGCCCCTGTATGGGGCCCTCGCCAAGCCTCGGGGCCGTCCAAAAACGGCTCAGGATGAAAAACCGGTTTTGGGGAAGAATGGGTCGAGCTTTCTGGGTAGTACCCCGCAATGAAAAATTACGACGTCGGATCTCTGGGTAGGAAGGGGTCCACGGGTGGATTTGCAATATTTGAGGCACCTCGTCCTTAGGATTAGGTCGGGCGTGTCCCCCTACAGGCGGATTTTGGGCGAAAAGTTCAAAATACGACCAACGTAACATACCCCAAACTAGCAAACACACATATGTTAAAACATCGTCGCCATTGCGGACTGTGTTTTGACTACTTTTGAATATTCCCCCCTGTTGAGGGACGGGCCCGACTTCGCCTTGGGGCCCCACCCCGTAGGACCCCATCGCTGAACCACCCATCGATCCGGGTGGTGGCGGACGACGAGCGGCACGGGTCGGAGGTCGAGCTCCTGCTCCGCCTCCCGGCCGAGGGGCCCGGGCTCCCGGCGGGCTGGTGCCTGTGCTTCCCTGGGCGCGGATGGATGAGGGGGCGGATCACGGCCCAGAGGTCCAGCGCATTGAACACAATCAAGACGGAGGTTTTTCGCTAGTTGCGGCCGCTAGGGGACCTCGCCGGGCCTCGGGACCATCAAGAAACGGCTCGGGATGAAAAGCCGGTCCTGGGGAATGGGTCGAGACGAGGCTTCCCGGGACCCGTCTCGAAAAAAACACGACGTCGGATCTTTGGGGAGAAAGGTGCCCCTTTTCGGGCCCGAAAGGGCCCCTCTTGGGCCTCAGAGGGCCCCTGTAGATGGGGGGAGAAAGGTGCCCTTTTCGGGCTCGAAGGGCCCCTCTTGGGCCCTGTAGGGCTCCTGTAGTAAATGGGGGGGGAAAGATGCCCTCGGGCCCTATAGAGGCCGCCCCTCTCTTGGGCCCCGCAGGACCTCATAAAGGACCCGGGGTCCTAAAGGACCCCTTGGCTGTAGCCCTCGCTGCCCCCCCTTCAATCGCCCCCCCCCCTCCGACTTCCCCTCCTCCTCCGCCTCCTCCTCCTCCTTCTCCTCTTCCTCCGGATGTCAGATATGACGCGAGCGCACCTAGCTTGTCCTCCCCCCTCCCCCTCCTCCTCCTCCCCCTCCACCTCCTCCTCCTCCTCCTCCTCCTCCTCCTCCTCCTCCTCCTCTCCTCCTCCTCCCTCCTCTCCCCTCCTCCGCCTCCCCCTCCTCCTCCTCCTCCTCCTCCTCCTCCTCCTCCTCCTCCTCCTCCTCCTCCTCCTCCTCCTCCGCCTCCTCCTCCTCCTTCCCCTCCTCCCCTCCTCCTCCTCCTCCCCTCCCCCTCCTCCTCCCTCCTCCTCCTCCTCCTCCCCCCCCACCTCCTCCTCCCTCTCCTCCTCCTCCCTCCTCCTCCTCCTCCTCCTCCTCCTCCTCCTACCTCCTCCCTCCTCCTCCTCCTCCTCCTCCTCCTCCTCCCCTCCTCCTCCTCCTCCTCCTCCTCCTCCTCCTCCTCCTCCTCCTCCTCCTTCACCTCCCCCTCCCCCCATCACTCAGCGCCCAGAAGTTCACCTGGACGAAGGCGGTGGTGCTCCGGCCGCCCCGCGGCGCGCGCACGGCGGGCAGCTACGTGCAGCTCGCGCCGGAGCCCGCGCTGGGCGCCGGCGGCTCCCGGGCCCTGCGCCTCCGCCTGCGCCCGCCGGCCATGAGGTACGCCTCGGACCTGCCGCGGCAGCTGCACCTGCGCACCCTCGGGCCGGGCGAGAGGGGGGGTATTGGGAAAGTCGGGGGTGGACAGAACCCCCAACAGTGCCACGTCGATTAGTGAATTGTCCGTTTTCGGCTCTCGAGAGGGCGCCGTGGCCGTTATGTTCCAGGCTTGCGCCCGCCAGGTTTGGGCCTCAGGTCGTTTTCACTAAACCACGTTTTACTAAAGGGAGGTCTGTCCATACCCGAGGAAAGGGGGGTTACGGAATCTGCTGCACGCAGCTGGCTTCGGCCCCACCGATCGGGGCCCCTTCCTCGATACATATAGCCGCCTCCGGCGCCGGGAGGCGCCGGGGAAATCAGCTACGTGAGCTGATTCTCAAACCCCCCCTTTGCTATCCCCCCCTTTCGCCCGACCCGAGCACCCGCGGGTGCGCCGCGGCGGGCCTCCCCGGCGCGGCGGTCCCCGCCGGGGCGCCGGAGGGCAGCGGCGACCCCGGGGGCGCCGCCGGGGACGTGCCCAGAGCTGCAACGTCTTGAAGAGTTCAACACACGGAGGCTTTTTTGTCGTGTTCCTCCTCCTCCTCCTCCTCCTCCTCCTCGGCCGATGACCGTGGGGGTTCCTACGTGGATAGGGGGTTACAAGTGGATGCCAAGGTGGGTTATATCTGGCCCAACCAGGCTTATAAGTGGGTTACAAGTGCCCTAAGTAGTTTAGGGGGGTTAACGATCTGGGCTAGGTGGGCTCCGCCCACTTAGCCGAGTTATCGACCCCTCCTAAGCTACTTAAGGCACTTGTAACCCACTTATAAGCCAGGTTGGGCCAGATATAACCCACCTTGGCATCCACTTGTAACCCCCTATCCACTTAGGAACCCCCACGGTCATCCCAGTGGGGGCCCTCGCCGGGCCCCAGGGCCGCCTAAGAAACGAGTCCGGGTGCAAGATCGGTCTGGGGACCGGGTCGATCAGGAGGGGAAAAAGCACACAGACGCAATTAGTCGTCGACTCCTATAGAAAATATGCGAAACTATGGGAAGTGGGGGGGAGGACGAAAACCCAGAAAATATGGGAAGAGATGGGGAATCTTTTTATTTGTGTGTGTTTGTTTGTGTGTCCCAGGGCCCCTTCAGTCGAGGCTTCCAGGGGCCCCCGCACATGGAAAACATCCAGGCATCGGGTCGATCTCCAGGTGCTGCACGTGGAGCTGGACGCGGCCGCGGAGGCGCACGTGCGGCTCGGCCCGCCGCCGCCGGGGCTGCCCGGGGTCGTGCCGAGGCCGCTGCAGGTCGAGGAGCGAAAGAAGGACGTGCTCCGGATTCCATAATAAAGTCGGGGGGGTCACATTTGGGGGGGGGTCTGATTTGAGCTGTCTTGGAGGGTTCGGGGGGGTCTGGGCAAAGGGCCGCCCTTTCATGGATGGTCTGGGAGGATCTAAAACTTCTCGTCTGGGAGGGTTGAGACCCCCTCCCTTTTAGTACGAAGTCTGGAGTACACGTACGTGAACCCACGCTGTTTTCGAGATCTCGCATTGCGCGAGTATTCGTAGCACGCGGCCTGTCTCGCGGGTCAAGGGGCCGCGTTCATGTACACGGCTGGGCGCGTGCGTCCTTTGTGGGCTCCCTAGCAGGTGGAGACAGACCCCGCCCAAGGCTCGGACGATCAAGGCAGGGGAGCAAGGAGAATGACATACACACAAAAACTCGGAGGTCCGCGCGGACTTCTCGGATCCGCGCTGGACCCCGCTGGCGGTGCCTCCGGCGCCGCCCCTGGCGCGCTCCGCCAGGGAGGGGGCTCCAGCGCCGATGCGAGAGATCCGCGCGGACTTCCGAGATTTTCTCTTTGTGCCTTCCTCCGTTCCCCTATGCAAGGCCTCCCGCTGCGAGGCGATGCCCATGCCGGCCCCCTCGAGGTTCGGGCCAGACGAAAGGAGGGGATTGGGAAAGGGGGGGGGTGCGAAATCTGCTGCACGCAGCTGGTTTCGGCCCCACCGAGGGGCCCCTTCCTCGATACACGGGCGCCTCTGGCGCCGGGAGGCGCCGGAAAAATCAGCTACGTGAGCTGATTCTCACCACCCCCTTGTCGGCACGAACGAAATGTGTATGCAAAGAACGGGTTCGATGTGTAACAGCAGTTCTTGTTCATTTCGAACAGGACTCGCTGTCCGCGCTGCCGCGGCCTGTGTCCACTTGAGACAGAAGGCCGCCTGCCCAACAGCGGCCGCTGTTGGTTTGGGACCACATTTGGTGTCGGGCACTGTGCCCATCTTCTCAGTACCCACTTCGGGCGTCCAAGCCCTTTGCTAGGTTCAGGAGGGGAAAAAACACAGACACAATTAATCGTCGACTCCCCAGGAAGTATGGGGAAATATGGGAAGTGGTGGGGAAGGCCAAACCCCAGAAAGTATGGGAAACTGTGGGGAATATTTGCATTTGTGTGTATATTTATTTGTGTGTCCCAGGGCCCCTTTACACTTGTTGTTGGGCATTGTGCCCAGTTTCTCCGTACCCACTTCGGGCGTCCAGGCCCCTTTCGGGGGAGCGTAAGACCCGGGTTTGCCAGGACTCGGGTTCGCCATCGTTTTTTGACGACCGCGACTCGGATTTTGACGAGGAGGAGTTTTGTGGGATGTCTGCAGCGGGAGGCCTCGTCAAAATGCAGGCTCGGCCTCGTCATTTTTTTGACGACCTCGTCGGGGATTTCCGAGTCCCCCGTACCCGGGTCTTACGTCTCCCCGACCCTTGCTACGTATCCCCCCCTCTCGCCCGGCCCCGGGAGGTCCACGCGTGGTCCCCGGCCGCGGCCGCCGCCGGCGAGCTGCTCCGGCGGTGGGCCGCGGCCTGGCCCGCGGCGGCGCCTCTGGCCGGCGGCGGCCGCGGGGGGGGCGCGGGGCCGCGCGGCCGCCGCCTCGTGCTGGCGGAGGCGGCCGAGGCCGGCGACCGCGAGTGGCTCGGCGAGGACAGGTAGGGGAAGAGGCAGTGGCATATAGCATGACAGCCCAGAGTCAAGAGGAGAAGAAACACACAGACACCATTAATCGGCGATCCCCCAGAAAATATGGGAAACCATGGGAAGCGGGGGGGAAGACAGAAACCCCGAAAATATGGGAAAATATGGGGAATATTTTTATTTGTGTGTATTTATTTGTGCGTCCTGGGGCCCCTTCAAAGTAGGGGAAGAGGCAATGGCATAAGCATGGCAGCCCAGAGGTCCAACGTGTTGGAAAAAAATCGGGACGGGGGCTTTTCTCTCAGAGTTCGGCCCCCAGGGGCCCTCGCCCGGCCTCGGGGCCGCAAAACAACGATTTGGGATGAAGCGAAACCGCGAGTGGCTCGGCGAGGATATAGGTCAGCCACGCGCAGAGGGGGATAGGGGGAGGGGGGAAGGCTTCTTAGGAGCACCCCTGCTTCTCAGAAGGCGCGGGCCTTCTCTAGACATGTAAGGGCAGGGCCTTCTGCGAAGCAGGGTGCTTCTAAGAAGCCTTCCCCCCTCCCCCATACCCCCCTCTGCTCGCCGCCAACTAGGGGAGGAGGCAATGGCACATAAACATAGAACAGCCCGGAGGTCCAACGCAGTGAAAGCATCAGGGCGGAGGCTTTTCTCTCAGAGTTCGGCCCCCAGGGGCCCTCGCCCGGCCTCGGCACCGTCAAACAACGACTTAGGATGAGAAGCCCGTCCTTCAGAGCGTGAATTTGCCTACCCCGGTTTCGCTTCCAGGCAAAACCAAGCCATGCCACGCGCCTCCTCGTCAAGCGGCCTGACCAGTACAGGCCGCAGTTTGGCATCGTTTGGTGTCTCTTGGAAGCGAGGGTGGTCCAGAGCGAGGTAGGTTTGTTCTCCCCCCAGTCCTGGGGAGTGGGCCGAGACTTCTGGGGGCCCCGCAATGGACAGAAGCACGACGCATCGGATCTCTGGGACAGCTCGGAGGTCCGCACGGACTTCTCGCCGGACCCCCCCTCGCTGGCGCGCGGAGCGCGCCAGGGGCGGCGCCTGGAGGCGCCGCCCGAGGAATCCGCGCGGACCTCCGAGTTGCTATGTTTCTGTCATGGTTTTCGGGGGCGGACAGAACCCCCAACAGTGACACGTCGATTCGTGAACTGTCCGTTTTCGGCTCTCGAGAGGGCGCCCTGGCCGTGATTTTCCAGGTTTGCGCCCGCCAGGTTTGGGCCTCAGGTCGTTTTCACTAAACCACGTTTTACTAAAGGGTGGTCTGTCCATCCCCGATGTTTGTTCCCCTAGAGGAGGGCTACGAGCTGTTTGTGGACGAGCGCGGGGATGTCAACATCGCTGCGGCCTTTGGGCCAGGCTTCTTGCGAGGAGCCGCAACGCTGCAGCAAGCGCTCGGCGTCGCCTACGCCGCTGGGCAGACGGTGTTTCCACCTCTGCGCATACGTGACCGCCCTCGATTTGGTTATCGTGGCCTGATGCTGGATGTCGCCAGGCATTTCTTCCCTGTGGATTTCATCAAGCGCACGCTGGACTGGATGTATTTGTATAAGCTCAACGTCTTCCACTGGCACCTCACCGACGACGAAGGATGGCGCTTCGAGGTGAAGGCCCTGCCCAACCTGACGGCGTTTGGAGCCTGGCGAGGGCTCGGAGAGGTGGTGGAGCCTCAGTACGGCAGCGGACCGCAGAGGTACGGCGGCTTCTACAGCCACGACGACGTCCGCGAGGTCGTCGGCTTTGCGTCCTCCCGCGGCATCACCGTCGTGCCGGAGATCGACGTGCCAGGCCACTGCTACGCCGCCATCCGCGCGCTCCCGGGCCTGCTCGGGGAGGCCGCGCGCCGCGGCGGGCCGGCCAGCGTCCAGGGCTTCCGGGGCAACGTGCTGGACGCGGCGTCGCCCGCCACCTACGTGTTCCTGGAGGCGGTGCTCACGGAGGTTCGGGGAACAAGCAGTGTCAGGAGGGAAAGAAGCACACAGACACAATGAACCGTGGATTCCCCAGAAAAAAAAAAGATGGAACATATGGGACGTGGGGGGGGAAGGCAGAAGCCCAGAAGATATGGGAAGATGTGGGGGATCCTTCTATTTGTGTGTATTTATTTGTGTGTCCCAGTTCCCCTTCAGGTTCGGGGAACAAGCTATGACGTATCCGTGAAAACTCGGAGGTCCGCCTGGATTTCTCGGATCGGCGCTGGAGCGCGCCAGGGGCCGCGCCGGAGGCGCCGCCAGGGGGGCCCAAGTCCAGCGCGGATCCGAGAAGTCCGCGCGGGCCTCCGAGTTTTGTTGTGTTTATATGCCATGCTTCGTCCCCCTGGAGGTGCTGGACGTGTTCCCAGCGCAGCTGGGCGTCCACATCGGCATGGACGAGGTCCCACCGGGCGCCTGGAGCGACGACCCCGCCGAGGAGGCGAGGCTTCTGGGAACTCTCGCGCGCTGGCTGCAGGAGTTCCTGCGGGAGCGCGGCCGGGCCCTGCTCGGCTGGGAGGATCCGCAGACGGCTTCTATACAAGAGAGGAGGGGGAGGAAGAGGAGGAGGAGGAGGAGGAGGAGGAGGAGGAGGAGAAGGAGGAGGAGAGAAGGAGGGAGAGGAAGGAGAGGAGGAATAAAAAGAGGAGGGAGGAGGAGGAGGAGGAGAGGGGAGGAGGAGGTGTGAGGAGGAGGGAGAGAGGAGAGGAGAGGAGGAGGGAGGAGGAGGAGGGGAGGAGAGGATGAGGAGGGAGGAGGAGGAGAGGAGAGGAGGAGGGGTGGGAAGGTAGGAGGAGCAGGAGGAGGAGGAAGGGGGAGAGGGAGGAGGACGGGGAGGAGGAGGAGGAGGAGGAGGAGGAGGACGGGGAGGAGGAGGAGGAGGAGGAGGAGGAGGAGGAGGAGGAGGAGGAGGAGGAGGAGGAGGAGGAGGAGGGAGGAGGGGTGCTCTGGCCTCCAGCGCCTCCTTGGCGCTCGCCTCCAGCGCCTCGGTGCTGGTGCCTGCCGGCCTCGCTGGCGAGCCGCCTCTCCAGGTCCTCAGCCTCCAGCTGCGCGATTTCGATCTGGCCCATCCTGGGCCCAACTGTGGTGTATACCCAGAGATCCAACGCATTGGAAAGATCAAGGCGGAGGTTTTTCTCTGATTTCGGCCCCCAGGGACCCTCGCCGGGCCTCGGGACCGTCAACAAAACTACTCAGGATGAAAAGACGGTCCTGGGGAATGGGCCGAGACTGCTGGGGGCCCCGCATTGAAAAAGGCACGACAGCGGATTTCTGGGTACGCCCTCCTGGCATCGGCCAGGCGGGCGTCTGCACCAGGCCAGGACCCCGGCTGGCCCTGGCTAGCCGCGGTGGTGGCGTATAGGCGCCTTCTGCAAAGGAGGCCTTCCGCGGGGGCGCGGGCCCGGAACCTGGCCAGACGCCGAGGGCGGCGGCGTTCGCCTGGAAGGAGGACGAGCGTTTCGCGGCCCGGGCGGCGGGCGCGGGGTACGACGTGGTCCTCTGCCCCGCCCACTTCCTGTACCTGGACCTCGTGCAGGGCATGGAGTTCGCAGACCGCGGCCTCTACTGGGCCGCGCCTGCGCTGCCCCTGGAGAGGGTGTACTCCTACGAGCCGCTGGAGCGGCTGCGGCGGCTGGGCCTCCCGGAAGGTGCGGAGGGGCGCTTGCGGGGGCTGCAGGCGAACCTGTGGGGAGAGACTGTCGACAGCCCGGAGCGCGCGGAGGAGATGTTGTTTCCACGCCTACTCGCTGTGTCAGAGATCGCTTGGTCTGACGCCTCACGGCGGGACTGGTCAGATTTTCAGGGGCGTCTGGTGCCACAGCTGTCATGGCTTGCCCGTGACGGTCAGGTCCGCTACGGGGGCGTGTCGTGCGGTTTGGTGACAGGCAACAGTTTCCTGCCCATCCCAGATTGCCTTGCCTCGCGGTCGACGTGACCTCTGCGGACTTTACTCGGTCCTGCTAAAGTTGGTATCATCTGAGTCCAAGATCGAGGAGCTGGTGGATCTGGTGGATACGGACATCGCCACCACATTTTCGTCCGTCTGGAAGGTTGCCTGTTGGCAGGGTGCTGTGCCAGAGAGAGAGAGAGAGAGACCGCCTCCTCTTCCTTCTCCTCCCTCCTCCTCCTCTTCCTCCTCCTCCTCCTCCTCCTCCTCCTCCTCCTGCCTCTCCTCCCTCCTCCCTCCCCCTCCTCCCTCCTCCCTCCCTCCCTCCCTCCCTCCCGCCCGCCTCCCGCCTCCCTCCTCCCGATCCACCTCTTTCTCCTCCTTCTCCTCCCTCCCCTCCTCCTCCCAGCCTCCTACCGCCTCCTCCCTCCTCCCCCTCCCTCCCCCTCCTCCTCCTCCCTCCTCCCTCCTCCGACTCCTCCTCCCTCCTCCCCCGTCCCTCCTCCCACCTCCCTCCTCCCTCCTCCCCTCCTCCCTCCTCCCTCCTCCCCTCCCTCCGCCCTCCGTCCTCTCCTCCATTCCTCCCGTCCCTCCGCCCTACCTCACCTCCTCCTCCTCCTCCTCCTCCCTCCTCCCTCCTCCCCGCCTCCTCCTCCTCCTCCTCCTCCTCCCCTCCTCCCTCCGCCTTCTCGTCCTCCGCCTCCGCCTCCTCGCTCCTCCGCCTCCTCCTCCTCCTCCTCCTCACTCCTCCTCACTCCTCCTCACTCCTCCTCACTCCTCCTCACTCCTCCTCACTCCTCCTGCTCCTGCAGCTCCTCCTCCTCCTCCTCCTCCTCCTCCTCCTTCTCCTCCTCCTCCTCCTACTCCCTCCTCGCTAGTCCAACGGAGTCGCGTGCCCTCCCCCTTCGGGGCGCTGGTGGGAGGCAGACAAGAGTGCACAGCGTCAGGCCTCCCCCCCAGTCGTCCCCGACTCGATCTGCCATGCTCCTGGGCGGAGGAGTGGGGGGCTCCGGGTAGATTCATGCGCGGTCCTAGACATGTTCTCGCCGTAAAAAAAATCACGGCGGGCGGTTTTGGGGCCAGTTTCGGCTTCCGGGGACCCTCGCCGTGCCCCGGGACTGTCAAACAACGACTGAGGACGAAAAACCCGTCTCGTGGAAAGGGTGGGGATTTCCAGTGACCGCGTTTTGACAAAAACGAGGGGTCGCAGATTTGGAATTTTCACCAGCAGGGATTTTTGTTATGTAACTACATGCCGTAAGGATGTTGTGGTTGGCGCAACGGGTATTGGCCTCTTGTACAGGTAAAACGATGAGATCTTGCTGCAGCTGACGCAGTACATATTCTCGATGTGAATCTGAACAGAAGTAGGACCAAGCAGAAGCAATCCCAGAGTCGTTTCCGTTGAGGCCCCTCTTGCCGCCGTCTCCGACGTCTCAGTCTGCCCCGGCCTCCCGTGGGCCAGGCAGATCTGCCGTGCCTTGCGCGGTCTGGGTGTTTGATCTCGGGGCGTTTTTTTTGTTGAGTTCCTTGTCTGCAGCACCCGCGCGCGGCCCACTTGGAAGATCTCAGATGATTTGGCGGGCCCTGGCTCCTGTCCAGGCGATCTCACCAGGCCCCTCGCGCAACTCGATGGTCCTCAGGACGTGTGTTGGCCCAATGTGTGTTTATCCCGTTCGGCCCAATTGGCGGAGCATTACATCGCCTGCGTCGTATCGAAGGGCCTCGATGGGCAAACACACGCTGGCGCTAACACACGTTCTGAGGATCATCGAACAACGAAACAGCCAGGAAGGCCGCCCCAGAGCCCGAACGCAGTCGCGCCGAGGCGAGTTCTCCTCCCGGCTGCTCTCTGGCAGCTCCCCCCCGCAGCACTACAGCACGGCCCGCAGCGGCCGCAGTCCGTCGATCCGTCCCCCCTCCTCTCGGCGGCGAGCGAAGGGGGGGAACTGATGAGGAGAAGTCGGGTGTTGCCAGAAGTGCCCCCTGGCCCAAGGTACACCCCAAGCTTCTCGCTTCATTTTTGGGCCCCTGGGGCCCTCTGGGCCTCGTTAGGGGTGCTCTGGAGGCCGTCTGGGCCACCCCGAGAATCATGGGGGCTCCTTGGGCCAGGCGGGACTTCTCGGAAGCCCTCGCGCCTTCTGGGAAGTTGTTCGTGTCTTTGGGGCAGGCGCAGAAAACTTCTCAGCAGGCCAGGGGACGTCCCAACCTTCTGAGAATCTCGCTCGCCGCCGATCCTCGCCAAGTCCCAGGTCCAGATCTTCCGAAGAAAGAAACCCAGGAGGGGAAAATACACACAGACACAATGAACCCTCGATTCCCAGGAACATGTGGTAACATAGTTATAGGAAATGGGAGCGAAGTCGAAAACCCAGAAGATGTGGGAAGATATAGGGAATCATGGGAGTTGTGTCTATTTATTTGAACAGCTCGTTATCGAAGACGCCTACGGCGAATCACCGCCGCCCCTGCCTTCTTGGAATCGCCCATGTGGCCGACCGTTGTGGCAAGAGCTTCGCCGAGCTGTTGGACAATGTGCTCCCCCAGCCGTTGTAGAACCCTTTGGGGGAAACCTCGGGGAGGATGGCGGGGAAGATCAGGAGGAGGAGGAGGGGACATCTTGAGAGCGTCTGGGCCCGCGCGGAGCTCAGAGATTCAATTGGATCCCCCCTCCCTTGCTGCCTCATCCTCGTTCCTCCCCGTTTTTTTTCGGTCCCGTGGACCCTGCTGATCGCTCGAAGTTCGGGTGGGTGTTGATGGGGGGGGGCCTGCCGGAGGGTGAAGAGTGGGCCCTGCAGGAGCCCTTTGGGGCCCCTCTCGGACCACGCTGGCTCCCAGAACGGGCCCGGAGGGGCTCCTCTACAGGTCCCGTGTCTCCCCCCCCCCCCCTTTTCGGCCAACGCCCCCTGACCCCCCGCCCGACGCGTGGGGGCTCAGCAGCGGCGGCGGCGCCTCTTCGACTGGCGCCCGGCAGGCCGCCGCCTTCGAGGCCGAGCGGCGCTTCCACGGGCGCTGGCTGCTCGGGGCGCAGCTGAAGGCCCTCGGGGGCGACCGCCGCCCGCCGCCCCGCCCTCCGCCGCTCCCCGCAGGCCTCCTCCCCGGACCTCCCTCGAGGCCTGGCATCGCTCGGACGTGTGCATTTTTCCTTCGGGGAGGACCATCGAAGAGCATCCTTGATCATTTGGCGAAAAACCACACACGAGGCCGAACAAAACAACAGGGGATGGACGTCATGAGCGACGGCGAGGATGGCTCGGGCACAGCACCAGGACCTCGAGACCCCAGGTCCTGTCCAGGTTCGAAGCAGGCCAGATAGGTCTACAGGTCTGGAGGGCTATGTTTGCTGCGCTCCGGGAGGTCAGGGTCCGCCCCCTCCCTTCCCCCCGACATCCCACGGGCAGCGTTCGGCATCCACCTGACGACGCCCAGTTTCAGTGTCATTTGAGCGACCTCCAGCTTCCAGCCTCCGACTCCCAGCACACGCCGACGCAAAAAAACGGGGTCGTTTGCGCCGACATTGGCGCGTAAGTTCGCCCGTAAGCTCGCGCGCAAGCGCCTTCGTCTCCAATGCGGCGTGCCGCGCCGGTGGCCCGCGTAAGCCAGCACTGCGTGGGGTCGCTATGTCACCTGGCGCAAGAACCGTTTTTGATCGTCGCACAACTGTCGACGCCCAATTCCCCATTTCGGTGACTCCTGAGGGCTCCGGCCCCACCGCGCTGCCTTCCTAGGGTAGGGGGCGGCCAAGGGAAGGGTGGGGGGGGGGGGGGGGGTATTTAACTAGGGGGGATATCATACGGGGGGCCAGGATGTTCCCCCAGATTTCACGGCGCCTCTGTTCATTTCATGACGCCCCCTCCCCCCGCCCCCTTCCCCTGAGCCACGCACATGCCGCCGGCCATGATTTGCCCCCCCCCCCCCCCCCCCCCTCTTGGGCGCCCCCCTCTTGAACGCCCCCGATAGGGCCGACAGATCTGGAGGTCGATTTGGGGGAGGCCAGCGATGACGATCGACGACGACGATTGACTACGACCACTACGGCTACGATGACGACAACGAAGGTTTGCGGCGGCTGTCGGCGGCTTTCGGATGCGGTCGGAGTTATTCGGGAGGCTCTCACAGTCTGATCAGATGATGAGGAGGATGAGGAAGGAGGAGGGAGGAGGAGAGGAGAGGAGGAGGAAGGAGGAGGAGGACGAGGCGGGGAGGAGGAGGCGGAGGAGGAGAGGAGGAGGAGGAGGAAGAGTGGAGGAGCAGGAGCAGGAGCCAGGGGAGCAGGAGCAGAGCAGGAGCAGGACAGGAGCAGGAGTAGGAGCAGGAGCAGGAGCATGAGCAGGAGCAGGGACACGAGCAGTTGGCAGGAGCCACGGCCAAAGGTGGCAGGAGCAGTGCCCAGAGCAGGAAGAGGGGGAGAGAAGGGGGAGGAGAAGGGGAGGAGAGAGGGGGAGGAGAGAAGGGGAGGAGGCGAGGAGAAGGAGAGGAGGAGGATGAGGAGGAGAGGAGGAGGAGGAGGCCACGTGCGGTAGCGAGCTAGCGCCACCCTGGGGAGGAGGAGGCGGCGGCAGAGGAAAAGCAGCGGGGGCGTTCCCGCCGGCAACGGCCTACGGCCCTGGGGTCCGCGAAGGGCCCCCGAACCAGCCCGAGCACAGGGGAGGGAGCAAGCTTCACGGGGCCCACTTTCAAGAGGGAAGAAAACACAGTCCCTCGAAAATATTGGAAATATGGGAAGTGGGGGGTGGAAGACAATAACCCAGAAAATATATGAAAAGATCTGGGGTCCTGTTACTTGTGTCTAGTTTGACTTTCAGATCTGGAAGCGAGGAAGGAGCGAGCTGGCGGCCGTACCGCTCCGCGGCCGGCATGCTCATTGAGCATGCCGGCCGGGCTTCCGCGCCGGGCCCGCATGGACCCGGCGGCCTGGCTGCTGAAGGAGGCTGCCAGGGGGTTCGCCGCGGGCGCGGCGGCTTGGGGAGCGGCCTGGGGCGTGCAGTGCCCAGCTGCGCCGCCCTGCCCGGCTTGCACCTGCCAGTGCGAGCCGCGCCTGGTCTGCCCCGGCGGCAGCCACACCGAGGGGAGTTCATCGCAAAGCAGACGAGCAAGGGCGGATCGATCCCGCAGCCGTCCTGGGACGAGCTCCAGCCCGTCGCCGACGGCGCTGGTGCGCCGACAGCAGTTCAGGACCCGCCTAAGAGCGGCGTCGCACGCTCATCTAGCAAAACATAATTCGCGACGCCCACGGCCAAGAAGCATCGTGACGGTCCGGAGACATCGACTGCGCCGCCTGTCACGCCCGCTGCGACCTCGAGCAAGAGCATGCCCGACCCAGCCACCCCGCAGCAGGTCGAGCAGGCCACCCTGGCGCCTGCGGACGCCGCTGCGGCGGCGCCCAAGAAGCGCAAGTCGTCGGTTTTGCGCAGTTTCAATGAGTAGGCAGCCGCTCCAGAGCACGACATGGAGGATGATGAGGAGGAGGAGCATGAGGAAGAGGAAAAGGAAGAGGAGGAGGAG